AAATTAAATTCACAGAGACAAAACGGAGCGAGTTCCAGTTCTCAACGCGGATTCTTCGAGAGAGAGACGATCCCCCGCTCGCGCTCGCGCTTTACATCCAAACTACAGTTGGTCCCTCAACTATTATAGAAAGCGGAATTTTCTTTTTCCTAAATGGCGGTCTGGTGTCTAAAATTTCAATATTTTTTATTTTTATTTTTTTATAATAGCTCCATTAACTTAAAAAAAAAAACCCTAATAAATTGCTAAATTTTCGATTTTTAATAGAAATTTAAACCCATTTACTTTTAATAAGTACCTAAATTTCAAAACATTCGAACTTATTATACACAATTTAAGTGTTCTCGAGGTATTTTGTGTAGTTTGACTAATCTTAGGAGTTCAGGGATTACGGCCTCAGGTCCTTCTTCATCGGTGGTTTCGCGACTAATTCGGTGTCTAAAAAAAAAGAACTATTTTTTAAAGTTCATAATCATATTAAACATAATCTTTTTATCGACTATTGTTTTTAGTACTTTTTTTCAAATATATTGTGACAATATATTCGTTTGTTAAGGTCCTTCTTATACTAAATTGTATTGAAAAATGTAATTGATTTTTTTTATTACAATAAATTAAGGATACAAAAAGAAAGTGGTTATGTCATTTATAGTCGTTCATATTGACAAGTTGTTTCACTTCAAAATTTAGAGAGATAATAAAATCAAATTTTGAAGGGAACAAATATTCAACCATTAATTGTGCTGTAGATATATTTTCGTTTACCTGTCACATCAAACCAATTGAAATTAGCTAAAAAATTTGAACGTGGGTAGTCTCAACTGTCGATACGAATTTCTTTTTAGGTAAATAAATTTCAATCGATTATTGATTGTTAGCTAAACTTATGGGGAGCTAGTTGTAACTAGTTTACTTATAATGATTACTTTATTTATTTGTGATCCACAATTTAGATAATTAATTTAATGATTCTACAGATTCATATTTTTCTGTTTTGTGGATGCTTTGTTTTAGAAAAATATTAACACTAAAAAAGAAATTCTATTATGAATTATTCTAATTTAAGAAGCTTTAATTAATGTTTAATCATGAAAAATACCTAATTCTCACCAACCATCAGTTTTTATAAATGTCAACATAAAAGTTCTTTTTTTTTTTTTGAGCAAATAGTAATATAAGAGTGAAAGAAATAATATTCAAACGCAATGCTAAAGTTGAATGGTACCCTTCAAAAAAAAATGTTGAACGGTAAAACCATACACTTTGACTTTTATTAATGATGTAGTTATTAAAATATGTTAAATAGCTATTGTTGAAGTGTGAATTATGCTCTTCCGATTCCCTTCGAAGTTCATACCAAACTTGATAAGCAGGGGACAAAGAACTTGAAAAACCAATCAAACCTAAACTGACTCCGGTCACACGGGTTCCGATGTCTAAGTTAGTAAGGAGAGTAGATGGATATAAGATTTGAGTATATCGAGTAGGATGCCCCATACCTCTAGGGTTTCGTCCCTCTTATAGCAGTCTCATGTGAATCCTAGTAGACTTCAGACCCGTTACGGGTGTAACTGCGAAACGGGAGGTACTGCAAAACGGTCGGGTAAGCCGTTATAGTTCTCGGCCCACCTGGTTGGCATCAAGGCCTTCTTCTCACCAAGGCGCTTGGTCGGCTGAGGTCACGTTTTTCGACACTTACTTGACCCATGCACTTCTTCTCCGGTCTAATCTTTGCTTTTGCTCCCTATAACAGCTATGAATTTTTATAGAAAATGTGATAAATAAGAGATGTGTGTGTATGTATTATGTATTTTTAAATATAACAAAAAATTTAAAATTTTAAAATTAACATAATTTGATTTGACTTAAAAAAACGATCACACAAGAGAAAAAAAATTCAAGTTTACTGAATTTTTTAAAAATAAATATAATATTTGTATCATCCGATGTAATTTCCTAAAAGTAAAAAAGAAGTTAAAAAACCTAATAAGTTCATGACAAATATATCAATATTTAACTGGTAAATTGAAGTATAATTATTCAATAATTGAGTTATTAATAACTTTAGCTATAAGTCTGAAGTAATAGATCTCTAACATGCATACTGTAATGCTATTTTATTTTTAAAGTCAAATGATATAATATTTGGAAAAAAAATGTGAACAGTCAATTTTATAACTATAGAGTATGCAGATTTGTTCCTTACTGAGGAAGAAAAAGGGAAAAAGATCCGCAGAATATTCACACTCAATAAGACAATAACGTGTCTCTCAAAAAAATAAAATAAAAAATAATAATAATAGTGTGCCTGTCGTGGCTCGTTGGAGTTCTAAAAAATAATAATATAATAAAAATGAATTTTAGGTTAGAATTTGACAATATTAATATATTAAAAAAAATAATAAATAACTATCCATTTTTTAATAACGATAAATTTAACTATTTAGCTAACACCTAAATTTTATCGATTTAATAATAACAATAAAACGTTAATAATTAAAATTTTTATTTCTAAGGACTTGTTGGGTAAAGTTATTTGTTTTTTTTTTCTCGTTTCCAATTTTGTTAAAAAATTTAAGTATTTTACAACTAACTTTATTCATTGTTTCTTTTTTTGGAAACATTTTCACAATTGTATAAAATTTTTGGAAACAACTAAAATAAGTTTTTTTTTTCATTTTCAATTTGTTCTAAAATATAAATAAAAATATTGTTTTATCATGCTCGAATGGTTAAATGTTGGAACCATGCAATACATTTTTCTTCATTAAAAATAAAGAAACAGAAACAAGAAATATGAACGTGACCAAATGAGCCCTAATCATAAACCGAAATAGGAAGAAATTTAAACTTTTCATTTTGAGGTCATCCTATAATATACTTACAAATTATTTTCATTTATTTTTTTTGTAATCGAAACTTTCTTACTGAAATGGTAGTGTTTTTCAATAGACCTCAAAGCATGAGATTTTAGAAATTGCTCAAGAATAGATAAAATTACAAGACTGAACTATTTATGATTGAATGTGCTCTTGGTTGTCTTTTTCAACAAAAAAAAATAACCTTGCCATGAGTAAAAATGATATTTTAAAGTAACATGATAATCTAACGATAAAGTTATAAATGATAATCAATTTGTTTGTCTAAACTTATTTAAGTGTTAATCTATAAATCTTTAGATTTATATTTAATAGGTCAATAAACTTTCAATTGTGTCACTAACATTCAATTTTACCCTTAGAACTTCTAATAACTTCTAATTTTGTATTTAATTGATCTCTAATGTGGTAGATATTTTTTAGATCCATGAACTTACATTATTTCATTGAGAGTACAAAGTTTTAGAAAAAAAAACTTTATTTTATGTTTAAAAGATCTATTAATTATGAAAACATAATATATGGTGGATTTATTAGATAGGAAATCAAAATTAATATAATTTATAATTTATTAGACATTTTTGAGAGTTCACAAATCTACTACACACAAACATGAAAATTTATGGAATAAACTAATAATTTAATATTTTTATGCCTAAAACGGAGCAAGGTCAGATCTGGTCAAGGTCGGACACACGTGGTGAGACTGACTTGCTCTGTCAGGAAATGACTTGCACAAGAGAAGCAAATACTCTGACGCTCAAGTCAGTAACAGCTCAATAATAAGTTCGAGATGAAATTTGATATCTGTCTGCATGAGTGATGTCATCTATTTATAGGTTGGGAGTTCGACAGGCGGTTATCGATGTCGGACGTATCTTCTTATATGGGTCGGACCATATCGTGTCACATAGTAGTTTAATTTCCATCGCGAATCTTTGGCTAATTATGGCTGGCCTGGATTTTCATATTGTCCAGATAGACCTCTCCTTATTCCCCACGTGACAATTTGATTTTGACTCAAATTAATTTGTTTATTTTAATAATCCATCTATGTTTTAAAAGTTATATATCTATTATAATATATGAAATTGTAAAAACCACTCGTGAAGGATCAGAGAGACTATAATTATACTCTCAAACTTTAAACTTGATCAACGTCCATAAATAATAAGAGTTGCTAGAATCATACCCTAGAATTTTCAATTCATCAATAACCCCTTAAAATTATGAATGGTTACAATTAAATTCATAAATATTATGACATGGTGGCACATCTTTAAACTATATGAAAACTTTTAACAATGAAATCCAACTTGAAAACTGTAATATTGAACTTTTAAATTTGTGGTTTCCATATATTGATGTGATGAAAAAAAAAAAAACCTCATACTTGTATTCCAGAAATAATTGAAAAATTTAAAGAAAACAACAACAATAAATAAACACAATAATTTACGTGAAAAACTTCAAACTAGAGAAAAAACTACGATCTAAGAAGAAAATTCACTATGAGAAAATTATTACAACCACGTGAAATTCTTTCCTTGACTTCAATTATACAAAACACTCGTACGAAGCAAAATATCACTCAAATAACTAGAGTTAGCATGCATGGTTTAAATATTTCAATTGGAATTAAAAAAAATCCAAAGCCATGGCCTTTTTTTAGCATTTGGAGCACACCCATTCATAATATTTTGTAAAAAAATCTTACATGATGTAGCGATGACATCTCGAATTTTGAAAATAACAAAATGATGTAAAATAATTTACACTTGTAACAATTCTACCATTGGAGGGTTTGATGATAATTATACTTGTTTATGAATCTCACGTACATTTTGTAATATTTAAAGGTTTTATTACAAATAATGTTAATAAGTATAATGAGTATTTGATGGATTTGAAAATTGAAGATAATGTAAGTAAAATGAGTAATTGATGAATTTGAAAATTGAATAGTATGAGACTTGGACTGGTTTTTCTAAATACTAATTAAGAAAACTAAAATTTTGGTAATTTATTGTCGTGTGAGAAAAATAATCCTGTTATTTATTATTTTTTTCTTGCGAGGAAAGACCTCGTAAATTTATTTATTTTTTGAGCAAGTCCTTGTAGATTTCTAATATGGACAAATTTATAGTAGGCAAAATCCTGACAAGTTGGTTCTCAGACACGTACCTCTTCGCTATCCATCCAATTGTAAAAATTGGGTCCACCTATTTTTTTTTTTTGTTAGACAAAAAATTTAGTCCATATTTTTTGCTTTGTTTTTTCTTTTTTTGAGACAAATTGTTATGTGTCCTTTGCCCAAAAAAATAAAAAAGCTTGTGTGACGTATGCTCTCACGTCAGCATAAATTATCAAAATAAATATGTATACTTTAATTATGTGGCTCATTTCTCCGCTAAGTTAGAGCAGATAAATTTCTTTTTAGTATAAGATATGAAATGGGGATCAAATGCTAAGCTATACTCGTTTTGATTTGAGTAGATCAATATTATTGCTTGCGGGATCCATTTGTATATCAGTCGTATTTAGTGACTCTTAACGTTGATTTTTATTCACCTATGATTAAATTATGGTTAAAATACTAGTTTGGTCCCTTCGCTTTTTACTTTGGTTTATTTTGGTCCATGTATTTTTAAAATATTTATTTTGATTAATGTACTTTCAACTTTGATTCATTTTAGTCATCCTTTTGGTCTATGTACTTTGAAAAAAAATTATCATTTTGGTCTCTCAAGTTTCTATTATAATTTCGACACGACATTATAATCAATATATTTCTTAAAAGATAAACATTACTTTATACTAAAGAGTTTCCGTTATATATAAAAAGTGACTTATAATAATAACTTTTCATAAGTATAGAGTTAAATATTTACTACCATACATGTTTGGATTGAAAAATTTGTTTGGACACTTTATTCTCTCTCGTGGATTACAAGATTTTGAAACTTACGAAATAATAATAAAAAAAATTTGAATATAAGATGTTTACTCTTTTATTTATTTATTAAAGTATCACACCTCAAGTTACTGAAAATTTGAATTTCTAACATAAAAGATGTTCAACAAATAATTTAAAATCCTGCGATTTGAGATCTAAAAAATTATTTTAGTTATTTTTATTTTGTTTGATCTGATAATAGTTTGAAATGAATAAAAATAAAAATTTGCTGGGACGTTTGCTGGGAAAATAAAATAAAAAGATATAAAATCTTAATCTAAATACATTAATTAAAAATTAAAATATAACATTGTTATATAAGTAATTCAATGCAAAATATTAATATATATACCAAAAAGACTATTTGAAATCACGTCAGATACATTTCAACTAACTCTAAATATGTACGTATATATGTATGTGTTTTAGCACAAAATATCTTGTGCAAACCACAAATTTGTACTACACAGACTTGCAAAAAAATAATGAACACTCCGATGTTCAAGTCAGTTTGTCTGAACTACTTTATTCTTAAGTAAATGCACAGATTCACACATACTTTAGGATGAATTTACATTTTGTATTTATAGGCATATGACATTTTATGGGTATACTTTGTCGAGATTAACATAATTGTGTGGCACAAAGATTGAAACATTGAAATTTGAGATGGTAATAAATATTTCATCCATTAAGTTAGGTAGGATTGATAAATTGATTTGAAAAATGAAATATTGAGAAGTGATTAAAATCAGTCAAATAAGTAGAGCTCACTAGTAATGATAGTTGCATTACTCTCTAAGATTGGAAGTTCAAATCCAGTAACTCAAATTTATTCGACTAAAAAAAATATTTCAACAAAATCATTTTTATGAATGATTGAGAAGCTCAATTTTTACTAATCCGCCAACTAATTGAAAAAAAAAACATATTTGGTATCAAATGAAGTTGGATTAATACATATTAAATAACTCTATCAAAACTAACAAATTTGAACCAAACAAAAAAAATTCACCCCAACACGTATCAATAATTTTCTTTGCAATAAATTTTCAAATCACCTTTCAGAAGGTAAAAATTGCAATATTTATCCGAATTTTAAGGGGTAAATTGTGTAATTGAGTCAAATTATAGGTTAAATTTGATATTTACTTATTATTGTTATTTCTATAAAGGATTTGATTTTAATTTTTACCTGAAGCCAGATTTTGTGTAACAATATCTTCAAAGCCGCATTGACTTGGCACCTGATCTCTGAGAATATTCCCCACGACCGGGGAATGGGATGGGAACGCTGTTCTAACCTACGCCACGTCACCGGTTCCTTCGCTGCTAGTTTACGCCCCCCAACTTCTCAACCACCCATCATCTATATCTCTCGCCGGCGTCATCCCGTCCACTCACTTCACTCAAGCCTTCTTCCGATCTCTTCCCTGCAAATGCTCTCAGGTTTCTTCCTCTGATCTCTCGCACACGCATTATCACCCACCTTACACACCCTTGTTTTAGAATCTGATTGAAATTCATGTAGTACTGCTTTACAATCGTTGATTGATATCTGTATTCCTCCAAAATGATAGTATGCTATGATATTTTTGTTCATTTTGGGATTTTGGATGTGATTTCATCCCTCAGAATGGAGAGTGATGCCAGGTGGACACGAAATGGAGTTAGATTTGAAACGTGAAGTTTGAGTTGGATTCGATTTGGCTCTCGCTATATGAATTTCTGTGGTCGTAAAATTTTCCGTTTAGGCCTGATTTTGAATGTTTCTGCTTTCGTTGTCATCGATCAGTCTCGTTTTGAATTCTCTTTTGTTTAGTTTGTATGCTCTATTTCAATCATCTTTTAATTGTTGAAGTTTTTGTCCACAACGAAACATATTTCTTTTGTCTTGATGCAGCTGATTGAGTCACAATCATGCTCGGAAATTCTAGGCCCCGGTGTTGGTTTCTTCAACTTGCATTTGCTTTCTGCATATTTGTTAGCTGTCTGAGATTTGGAAATGCGGGGATCACCAGTACATTTATTCGATCAGAGTGGCCATCCATTGATATACCTCTTGACCATGAAGCACTAGCTGTTCCAAAAGGTTACAATGCCCCCCAACAGGTAAGCTCTTGATATTTTTGGAACTAAATTTGATTTTGTGTAATGTAATAGAGGCTACTGGCTTAATTATTATTCTTTCCTCTTTCTAAAGTCTCTATAGGCTTCTCCGTGTTGAAGATTGTTGAATACTTACATTCTCTCCCACTGAACTGATTCTCAAATCAATAATGGTCTTGGTTTTAACCTTTAGACAATCTTTTACCCTCATTTCTATAATGCTTCTTTTTGCGCAGCGTGTTACTTAATCTTCTGGCATATATTTGATGGTTCCTTTCACATTGGTCATCTGGCTTTATAAGGTTTCTAAGGGAAATATACGGTTTTACAACTTTATTTAAATTTTCTATCACGATTTTTTTTCCTGAACTGAGTATTGGATGGGAAGGAATAAATAGTCCGAAAGATAGGCTTGATGAAAAGCATAATGTTTGGTTTGGAGGTTCTCTTGTTTTCGGACTGGGCAGTTTGTGAAGAATTTTTTGTCGTTACTTTTACAGAATTTGGTTTTGAGTTGTGTTGCCTAATGCATTTCCATTTTCTAGACGAATGGAACACATCGTCCTATTTCTTTTGTGTATTGTTTCCTGTGGAAGTTATTTTCTAGAATAACAAGGATAGTCATACCATTTCCTTGTAGGTGCATATCACCCAGGGTGACTATGAAGGCAAGGCCGTTATTATATCATGGGTAACACCTGATGAGCCAGGGCCCAATAGTGTACAATATGGTACATCAGACAATAGTTATGAGTTCACTGCAGAGGGAACAGTGACAAACTACACCTTTTATCAATACAAATCTGGTTACATTCATCACTGCCTCCTTAGCGACCTCAAGGTAACTGAATGTAGCTTTATGATGGATGCAAAATATTCATCTTATCAGACTAAACATATAACTTCAAGCTGGTTGAAAATTGCCACATGTTCAAATTTCTTTTATGTTTCTTCACTGTCATTAAGCTCCATTCTCACTGATGGGAACAATTTCTCATTAACAATTTCACACAAATTCATGATTTTTTACTTGAACTATAAGCTAACTTGACATGCCATGCCACATGTATGTGTTTTCTTCCAAGATTACTGCATTTCTCTTCCTTTCTTGACTAGAAACACTCTCTTTGAAAATCTGTTTCGTTGATGAGTTTAATGGTGCTCCCTTGATCCAGTATGATACCAAGTATTATTACAAGGTTGGGAGTGGTGATTCTGCTCGTGGATTCTCGTTTCAGACACCCCCAAAGATTGATCCAGATGCTCCTTACAAATTTGGAATAATTGGTGAGAGAAGTTCTCTTTCTATTTGCATGTGCAGTGTTAATTATTGAATCAATTTTCTTGAACATTGTCTGTAAAATAAAAGAAAACATTAGTTTTCACAACTTGATTTTAGTTTCTCCAACTCAATCCAGCAAAAGTAAGATGAGGGTAAAATCTAGCTTTTCTTCCCCCTTTCAATTGTACAATTATATATAATTTACTTGTATTTTTGTCGTTAAATAATTAAATGCTTTTACATGATACCATATGAAATTGAATATTAGTTATATAATTTTGTAATTTCAAAGTCAAATTTCATTCATCACATTTTCTGGAACTGTTACTAAATGATAAGTAAACTTTTCAACATTTGAGTTGATGAAACTATGCTAATTACAATATCTATAATTAAAATACATGAACACGTAAACTTTTTATTCCCAAAATTTGATTTCTCATCATTAGCCAAATACTTGTTTTTCTTCTATATAACTTATTGATAAATAATAAATTGAAATTTACGATTAATTAACAAATTAGGGCGAGCATGGTGTTAAATAATGTCATAGGGCTTAGAAAATCTGAGTTAAACGTCTTGTTATACTTTCCAAGCCCACTGATTCTCTTTTCCTTGTATGTTTCATCTTGTTCAATTTACTTTTGGACTTTGTAGACTTTTGTAGCCAATATTTATTTTGGCTTGCTGCTTCCATACTAAATAGCTATACCATGTACTAGGTGATTTGGGCCAGACATTCAATTCTCTTTCTACTCTTAAGCATTACATGAAGAGTGAAGGGCAGACAGTATTGTTTGTTGGAGATCTCTCTTATGCTGATAGATATCAATTTAATGACGTTGGTCTTAGATGGGATACATGGGGTCGATTTGCGGAGCAAAGTGCAGCATATCAACCTTGGATTTGGTCTGCTGGGAATCATGAAATAGAGTACATGCCTTACATGGTAAAAATTTTTATGATGATTTTTTATTACTTCTGCTACATGTGTAACTATCTTAACCACTTTGGCATGTCATTAAACTATGTGAAGATTCAATCTTTGAATAAAATTATTTCAATTATAGCTCAGTAATTATATTATTTCACCATGGTTCGTATGTATTTTCTTCGCATGTAAATATTTTAAACTAGACAATTGTTGTACGTGGACATGTAAATTTTATACTCAAATTGTCACCATAAGTAAGTTCCCTTCTGAATTTTAATACTGAATCTGCCACTGAGTTAATGACCGAAAACGGGAGGAATATTGTCCTGCTAAATCAGAGGATATGTTGTAATATAATTTCCGAAATGCTCTAAATTCATTCAGCTTTATGTTGGAATTAACTCAATTTACTCGGTTTTATTAAGTATTGAGTGAACTAATTGTAATCTTTATCATGCTTGTTTCTTTGATATGATCCATTTTTCATGTATTTATTTTTATTTATTTTTTAATTATTAGGATGAAGTTGTTCCTTTCAAATCCTATCTCCATCGATATCCTACACCTTATTTGGCATCCAAGAGCAGCAGTCCTCTTTGGTATGCAATCAGACGGGCATCTGCTCATATAATAGTATTATCTGCCTACTCTCCATTTGGTAAATACTAAATACATATTCTCTTGCTTTACACGACTAGTTAAGTTCTTTAGTATTTACTGCTGTTTATTAGTGGAATTCATCATCCTATCATTCTTTTTATATGTTCATCATGTTAAGTTTGCATGTTAATTACTACCAGAGTTGAATTTCAAGGTTTTTCTTTTTTAGAGGGTGGTGGTGTTTGGATCCCCATAATTATGCTGAGCATTTAAGCATGTATTGTGAGAAATTGGAAAGATACGTTAAAACCTCACAGGTAGAATTCCAACCACTTAACCTTCTTTGCAAGATTGATCCATTGACCTCGGTTTTGTCTAATGAGTGTCAAATTTTGGTTGTTTTTAACTGTTGTCAAGGATCTCTGCTTTTTGTATTTCCTTTTGCATGATGATGATAACATAACATCAATTGGGGCTCGAGTTGTTCACCACATAGACCAAAATATGGATTACTTTATCATCCCAGTTTTAAGGAAATAAGATTCTATAGAATGGTGGGGCATTTTATGGCATGAACGATGGTTGTCATATACAATGTATTATAGATTCATGACCACTCAGTATATGCCAACTGTCAAGTACATGTAATTAAGCTATTGGGTTGTCGAGTTTAAGCATTTCCCTTGTAACAATTTTTTTTGTTTGAGAATGTCGTGGCCAAAATTTAAAGTTCTTCCCTAGCATTTTAGAGGTCTGTGTCCAAAAAGATTACGAAATAAAACATTTTCTTTTGATGATGAAATGTTACAAAAGGGAGAGGACCCATTGCAACCTGAGGATTGATTCCATTTCCTTCCTTGTAACTGCAGCATGTGTAATTCCGGTCCAGCTTTAGAGTAAACCAAAGAGAACTTACATGTTCTTTTCTAGCCAATTTGATAGCATAAACAAGCACTCAGATAATGAGCTCATATCCCGTCTTATATTCTGTTTTTCTTTTATCATTATGAAGGCTACCAACTTTCACGTTTTTCTTTACAAGCTTTACGATTATTTCTTTCAGTGAAGTACACGCCTCAATGGCACTGGCTCCGTGAAGAATTGGAGAGGGTTGATCGGGAGAAGACCCCTTGGCTAATTGTGCTTGTGCATGTTCCAATCTACCATAGTAATGAAGCACATTTTCGGGAGGGTGAAAGCATGCAGTCAGTATTTGAAAGTTGGTTCGTTCAGTACAGAGTTGACGCTGTCTTTGCTGGCCATGTTCATGCTTATGAACGATCAGTATGTTGCTTAGTTTTTATGTCTTTCCATTTTATGCCGTATAGTGATTATCTCTACCATAGATTGGGCATCTAGTAAATGCTTATGTTTACCTTGTTGCTATATCATAATGTGATTCAACTGTTGTAGTAGTTCTTCCATTTAAATCTGTCGTTTTGATGAACATTGCATGCTATATCATAATCTGCAAGTACATTATTCTACTTTGACAAAATAATCAGCTAACCTCAATCATTAGACAGTATAGGATGAAACTTCCAAATAAGTTATCAGAGTTCTTACCCAAAAAATAGCATAGATTCTAGTTTATTTTTTTAGGTGGCTCAAACTATTGGTGTTCAAATATTTCAGAGAGGCTACCATTTAGTTCTTCCTTCTGTCTTCTGATAGATATGATGGTCTACAGTTGTTTCAGAAATTTTCAACCTTTTGACCGCCTGATAGCCCTTTACATTTCTGCATATATTCCTCCTAACCTACATTCTCGCACACCTAAAGACGATACTATGAAATTCATGTCACAATAACATATTCTTTTCTCCTATTACAGTTTCCTTATTTTGATCCAAGTTTTTTGTTTCTTTTTTCTCTTTTTTCCTTCATAATTTTAGTATCGCATCTCCAGCCTAAAATTCAATGCAAGCGGTGATCATCACACTGTACCAGACAAATCAGCCCCTGTTTACATTACAGTTGGAGACGGCGGTAACCAGGAAGGTCTTGCTGGAAGGTAAATAAATTGGATAAGCATTCACTGAACTGGCTCATTGATGTTTAGATATGAGATTCAATCTGTCTAACGTGTATTATGGTCTGTCCATCGGTATTAGGTTTCGAGATCCACAACCAGACTACTCAGCATTTCGAGAAGCCAGCTACGGACATTCAACTTTGGAAATCAAAAACAGGACTCATGCATTCTACCATTGGAACCGAAATGATGATGGGAAGAAAGTGGCAACAGATGCATTCGTACTACGCAATCAATACTGGTTAGTGTACTTTCATGTTATGATTTCTCTCTCTCACAGGGAAAATTTAGCTTTCATTGAAAGAAAAATAAGAAAAGAGGATACGGCTTACAAAATGGAAGTTTGAACCCAGAAGGAGCCCTATACTTCAGATTTCCAGTCAATAACAATTATAGAACAATTTTTCTACCATTTGGTCTTTTCTCCCACCTTTTCCCATCAGCATCCTCCTTAATGTAAACTGTAAAGGTTATTTGACCAAACATATCATCATATTACTGCTGCTAGAAGCAAGCATTTAACCGTGCAGTCATTGTTTACTAGCCCATTACATCTATTCAAACAGCTACGCGAAACAAATCAGCGATAAATTTAGATTCGGTTTGTGAAATTTCTTGGCAATGATCAGTAACGCGATGTTCGTGCGTGCAGGGCACATAACCGTCGAAGGAGAAAGCTGGAGAAACATATCCAGATGGTGATTAGCCAGAACAAGAGCTATTAATAATATTAGCCGCACGTAAGGTACAAAAAATCTTGAAACCGTTTGCCTGGAGTTGCCTCAGGAAGTGAACTTGTTTTGAATAAGCAACTGTTTTGCAGAGACGGTTGGCTTTGGCTTTCCAAATGGGTTCATTAGATTGGTAATGTATAGTGTTTGAATGGATTATGGATATCAATCAGTTTATTATTGCATTAGCCTTTGCCTTTGCCTTTGCCTGCACTTTTTATGTATGTTTCTTTTAGCAGGCCAGCTTTTGAATTGAACAATCCACGCCCAGTGGCTAATGGCTATTATTAATAATCATCCTATGCTAACTTGGCAATGTTTTACCTTTAATTCCGTATCATTCGAACTCACTACTTTTTTATATTGGTCAAGTGGCCAAGTGTGTGCTGATTAAGTTTTGGTCAAGTTGGCTGTTTAATTCAATCGACTGTTGATGTACAAATTATTCACTTTATGTTTGGTTTTGTAATTTAAATTAGATAATTGGTTGTTGAAATGGAACGTATAGCATGAAATATACTCCCTTGATGAGAGATGTGTAATTTGAAAAAAATATTCTTCTTTTATTAACATCAAATATAATTAAAAAAAAATATTTTTTTTTGAAAAGTAAAATTCAATTTGATCTCTGAGTTGAGTTCGAAGATGGTTTCTATTTAAAATATTTTATGAAAGGTCTGTAGCAAAGTTGGCTATTTATTAATTTTATATTATTTTTCAATTATTATTGTGTCCTTTCTCGATCTCTTCTCTCTTCCCTCTTCCCTCCCTCTTTTGTAGTTTGCTCAGTTTGTCATGCCCCTGTCCACGACTCCATATTATTTTTCCATTGTTATACCCCTAACGAAATTTTGACGCCATCAACTTTTTACAACTATTTTCTAGAGGTCAGAGATCAAACTCACTTTTAAAACTGAACAAATAGATACCTCCTCAAATTCGCATTTTATCATTTCTTAAATTAATCTAATGTACCCCATAAACCCATCCTATTAAGATCTCATTATTTCTTAAATTAATCTAATCTACCTTGTAAAACCACCTAATATTTATTAGATTAAAAAATACTTTTACTCTCGTAACTTTAGAAAAGTAATGGCTTTAGTTCACATATTTTCAAATTATTAACAAAAATTTTTAAATTTTAGTATATAACAATTTAACCTTTATAATTTAAAAATTCAAACTTATTTGTAAAAAACCTATCAAAATTGTCCATTTCTATCCTATAACTTAATATTCATAATTTATAAACACATTTGACCACACATCAATCTACACAAAAATCTCTATCAAATCTTAAAATTAATTTTCTACACAAAAATCTCTATCAAATCTTAAAATTAATTTTCTACACAAAAATCTCTATCAAATCTTAAAATTAATTTTCATGATAAGGATTAAATTGTTATAAATTATAAACTACATAAATTATTACGCACTAAAGTTCAGAAACCAAATCAGTCTCTTCAATGAAAGTAACAGTGACCAAAATGTTTTTTAACCTAGTCGAGATCTTCTTATAACTAATCTTGGCAATAACTGTAGACAATGAAAGTAAGACCATAAACTTATACCGTCAAATTGAGACAAATTAACTTTCTTTACACAATAGTACAAAGGGGTTTTAGAAAGATTTAAATCGTAAACAAAAATTTTAAACTAAAAACAGGGTAACTGAGGGGGAATTTAAAAAAATAAAAATAAAAATAAACAGGGAGAAAAACCAAGGAAAAAAAGAAACTATAAATTTATAGACGAGTTAAACTCTGGTGGAGGTGAACTTCTAATGAGTAATGACATGGTAAACTAATGAAATCACACTATGCTTGATCAACTATGGAGTTTGGAGTTTGAGTTTCAAACACAACACACCTCTTCATGGAAATCTTGCCTTATCCTTCTTCTGTGATATGTAATCTGCTCTTATTGCCCACAACTGCTCCCCAACTAACTTCATGTCTGGACGGTCCGCTCGTACTGGTGCTGCACATTGAATTGCCAACTCAAACATTTTGACGACAATCTCCACGTCCACAGTTTCGTCCAGTAAAGGATCTAACGTTTCCAGTATTTTGTCATCACTATACTTGGTGAAAGCCTGCAAATACCAATGTGTAAACCAAGAGCAACATGAGAGGTTGGGCCCTCATACTCACTAATGAAATGAAATCTAGTGAACAGACAAAACAAATGAAGGCTTGCTCGTTCTGAAACAATGAGTAACGTTCCTACTTTCAAAAAGAATTAAAAGGATCATTTGTAGAACCATAACACACAGTGGTAGGATGGTTCATAAACGATTAGTTTACATGCCATCTGGTAAATTTATAAACTTTTTATACAGAATGTGATCAGATGTAAAATTTGTATCCTAGAACGTAAAGAACACTCTAAACTTGCAAGTGTATGTGTCAGAATTTAGTCAGTTAAAAGAGACCTAAATTAGTAAATCAGAGGTTGATGCAGCATCAGATTCTAGATGAAAAAGCTCTAATTTTTCGGATCCATCTTCGGAGGTTTCATCGCAAACACAGAACAATTATCCATCTTCTTTTGAACTTAACAAGTTTCTTACAACCGTCCATGATTCCTAACAGAAGTGTCCAAGAAAATGATTAGAATGTTCAACTTACCCATCTTATTGTGACCCGCTCCTCAGGAGGCCTCTTTGCTTCCAACGGACGCCGTCCGGTTAGAATTTCGACGAGTAAAATCCCGAATGAGTAGACATCACTCTTAGTAGTAAGTTGGTAAGTCTTCATATACTCCGGGTCTAGGTAACCAACTGTTCCTTTCACCTGGGTTGAAATGTGCGTTTGTTCAGTACCCAATGTGCCAAGCCTTGCAAATCCAAAATCCGCCACCTTCGCTCTCATGCTTTCAGTAAGAAGAATGTTGGTCGATTTGACATCTCTATGAATAATTTGTTTCTCTATCGTAAACAAGAAATAAATGTTAACTGGCTGAAAAAAGAAAATGATCCAATACCATCATCAGAAAAAATACTGCGAGATATCTAAGCAGGAAGATTTAGTTCCATATAAAACTCAATTTATTGATACAATAATTATAACTCAACTTTTCTAGTTGAGTAGTTGCTAGTGAGTTGCACAAAATATTATTGAATCATAAACTATTGAATAACATTTCATAGTTATTTAATCATATTCAAGAAATTACTAATTCAAAACAAATAAAATATGACATTGTGAAGGCTGTTTAGAAACTGTTTTTAGAAACAATATTATATTTTTTTAGATAAAAGTTCAACAATAGCATATTTGAATAACAGTCTTTAGAAGTTATTTTCTCAATTATGGATGACTTATTTTCTATATCAGCTGGAGTAGTTCTTACTGTGAGATTTATGAATAGTAATTGCAAGCCCAAATAATCTTAACTTTTATAGTCATCTCTTAAAAACTGTTTTAAAAAATAAATACTAATTTGGATAAATTCTCCCAAATAAGTCTCAAATAGGAAGCTTAATGAAGTATACAAATTGCTAATTAAACAAACACTTCTATACATTAAAGAATCACACAAACAATCAAATTGATATGATGTGAAGGTAATTTTATCGACTTTCAAAATTAGCCTTCCTGATATCAAAAAATGACTTTGACGTTACCAGAATAAGCCAACGAATAAAGGAGTGTCTAACCTGCATATAGATGGAGATAAGTTAGTCCATGAGCAATGTCAATGGCAATTTCAAGTCTCTGATTAAAATCCAATACTTTTCCATGCACACCTACAAGGACAAAAGAAGAGCAGTCATGAGCGTCAATGGAGTCATCAGAATTAAACAGCAGTTTAATTTCTAGTCTTCCGTCGGGTAGAACATTACCATCCAAGTGTTCTCTAAGAGTACCATTTCCTACATATTCCGTAATGATAATGCGTTCATTTCCATGGTCAACATAACCTAACAGCTTAACCAGACTGCGATGATCAATTTTGGCCAGTAATTCTACTTCACTGCTGAAATCAGTTCGTGAATTCTCAAAGATTTCCTGCAAAATAATTGGGTTCGGGTTACAATATAAGTTCCCAAAGAACTATTACTGATTACAGAGGTAATAAAATAAAATGGATAAAGGAACCTTTATATCTGACTCCATTATAGAATCTTGGACGTTACTAATTTCATCCAACATGGCCATTATATTATATGTCACAAAATCTAACTTTTCCTCAAATTCTATATAAAATGAAAAAAACCAAACTAAATCAATCATTCAAAACTGGTTTTCGACTTTTTATAATTTTGTACAGTAGGGGTTTATTAAAAAATTGAGAAGATCGATTTAGTTTCCATTTGAACAAAAATCAACCAAATCAAACCAATGAACACCTTTATTGTCGCATCGCAGGTGACTATGTCCAACAAGACTGATATGACTATATGCCTTTATGGGAATTAATAATTTCTCTAAGTAGTCTAGTTTGGGACCTTGGGAGTATACTTGTCAGCTCTAGTGTTTTTCAGAGCATTAGGCATGTTGAAACTTAAGGTTAACATATCATGATGGCATGTGCCCGCTAACTGAGGTTGTATGGGGGATTGGGTCCATGTACGAACATTATACATAGAATTTGAGATTTTACAACACATTATCATCACTGTTTAGTAAAAGTGGAATACATAAAACCATCATAAAGATTTGGTACTTGCCTTTTTAGCACGTTTAACGGCAACTATGTGCCCATCTTCCAGCTGAGCTTTGTAGACAGTTCCAAAACCTCCTTCACCTATGCGTAGAGATGGTGAGAAATCACGAGTCGCTCTTACAACTTGACTCATATTGAGATGAACTGATCCAAGCCGTTTTAGTTTAGGAGATGGAGAATATCTAGGACTAGGTGGTACACGAAGTGGACTTGGTGGAATCTTTTCAGGAGCAGAGCTCATCACTTCAATGGAGCTTGAATGCACTGCAAAAAAAGGAATCCATAACTCAACTATCAAGCACGTCTGATTCTCACCAGGTAATGTCAAAGAAGGGCAATGCCTTCATAAAAGTAAAGAAAAAATACACAATTTTAACATACTGCATGCAATGACATATGGAGAAGAATGAGTTAACAGCTATGAACATAGGTTTTGTACAAATCACAAGTAAATGAAAAGTGAACAAAAAGTCTCAGATAAAAGAATTAAAATATTCAACCCTGCTATGCTATGGCCATTCTAAATGGAAAAAAAAAAAAAAAAATTCAAAATTGAGCCGTCACTCTCAATTTAACCTTTTAATGGCTTTGATATGTCATAGGTGACGAAGAATCAATTAGTAGCAATACTCCTAATAATCACACAAAAAAAGTTCAGGCTGAACCAATGACTCACCCGATTGTTGTTCTTTGACTAAAGCTTTTTGAACAGTGCGTCTCCTCTTTCTATAAAAACAAGGACAGAGGACGCCACAGCATAAAACGAAGGTTCCAGTTAAAACAATTCCAATATTTTTTGGGGATGCAAAAGATTTTTTATCCTCTTTTGCTATCCGATCATGATTCTGACCGTCTTTAAGGTTAGGGTATTCCTCCTTCTGTTCTTCTTTTAACAGTTTCCTTGATGCTTTGACCGACAGACCAGCTGCAAAAAAAGTTGCAGAGTTAAACTTCTATTACGGATATACCATGTAAATAGAGCAAGAATATATCTGAAGATGATAAATATGAACTAAAAATTCCATGATGAAGTTTCCAAATGAAAACCAAATCATAGGGTGCTTACTGAATGAATTATCCCAATGGCAACCATCACTGCCCCCAGAATTCTCAAATATGCAAGGATATCCATGGAAAAACTGCAGCACCTTACAGAACAAAGTTCTGTCCATTGAGATCCCATTCACGAAATAACGTTCACAACCATCAGAAACTGGATAGGGAATCTGATAGACACTTGTTGAAACCCCCGATTCCATCATAAACTCAGAAGCCAATACTCTGGGCGATTGCACCAACAACATGCCCATAACGGAAGCCACTATCGATGAAATAACAAGAAGAAAAGCCATCTTTGAAAACCAAACACCGAGAAAGCGATGAGACAATTTAATCAATTTATTCCATCCTGATCATCAAGTCGACAGAAACCCGAAAGTAAAAACTATCTGTAATCCGGTCCCAGTTTATGCCCAAACTCCAACAAGCAAGTCCAGAATCGTATTGTAACCACAACTTATGACTTCGAATAGCGTCCAATACTATACAGAAAGCGTTTATTTCTCTTACTGCCAGCAAAATCCCATCAAAATTCACCCAAACCCTACCAAGATCAGTCCATACTCATCAAAGGGGACGAAAGGCGATATCGCAACAGCAGCAATTCCCCAAAGCAACTCCCAAAATTGCGCCGAATTCCACACCGAACACGCAGACGATCCAAACCCACTTCACCGAATCGCCTAAAACTCAGAGCCCAACGAATTCAAGTTCCGATCACACAAAAAGAGCAGCAAAAGAATCTTCCGGCGGCGAATCAACGAATTGCAGGGCAGTAGCCGACATAAAAAAGAGAGAAACATCAAGAGAGAAGGCGAGATGAGAGAGAGAAACCCGATTGGAGCGGAGGAATTGGAAGAGAGCAGAAATTGGCTGAAGAATGCGAAGTCATGGACTGGGTTTAGCAAGAGAATTGAGTTGGACAAAGTTGACCGCTCGGAAAACACCATTTCCTCAAAGAATCCTGTGCCGCAGTAGTTGTAGTTGTAGATAAAATTCGTCGCCTCGTCAACTTCTGCGGTATTGTCTAGACAGATTGAAAAAAAAATTAAAATTATACTTCCATTTCAAATCAACGGCCCAGGATCCAAGTTGCCCCAATGACTACGTCGACTCTCCTTTGTCGTGACTCGGCAGCAATCGATCGGACGGTTGGAATTCTTTTTACCAATATTTGATTAAATGCTTCAACCAAAAGATTGGACGAGCATAATTTTTTTTTAATACAGAAGAAATGAACGTTGAGCTAAAATTATATTAACTTGGTGGAGAGAACTCATGTATATGTTAAATTATAAATTTGGTTTCGGTCCCTTTTAATATTTGATTTTTGTGCTTTCGATATTTCAATTTAATTTAGTTTTAATTTGATTTTGATCGATGGGAACATGTCATATTCAATATAAGGTTCGAAGATAAAATCGATACTTGAGATTGAAATGAGATCCTCTATTTATAGGTATAGGCTCCAACAGGCGGTTACTTTAGTCGGAGTTGAGATCGAATCTGTCGGGTCACGCAGGTCGAACTCGAACAGTTTATTCAAGATGTTGCCTATTTTAATCAAGGGAATAGTAGCTGAGTATCCCATCTCGAAGGGTCCGAGGTGGAGCTGCCTAGAAATTTTAGATAATAATATATCTTTGACGAATCTGGCACGGTAATTTCCTTCCCCACACGTAGATAAATATTAAATTGAGACCGTTCAAATTGCTGGAAATTTTTAAGAATTAAATTAAAACATTTGAAACTCATCCCAAATTATTAGAATCAAATTATTTGACCTTAATAATTTAATATAAATAATAATTTTATGAAAGCCAATGATTTGGACGCCGGTTTGATTAGTACGCCATTTTTAATTGTTAGACCAGACCATATTCCAGTTTTTCTTTTATTATTGTTGTTGTTATTATTATTATTATTATTTTCTTTTTGAAGATTTTAATTGTTGTTATTTTTAATACCTTGAGACTTGAATGTATATTGAAATGTGCGTCACCTACGTTAGTGCTCATTGATGTTTTATAAAGATCACAACAGCATTATACTCTTATCTTATATCCATCGCTCTTTTATTTATTAACTTTATATTCATGGCGTAGAACCAAAAAAATTTGGCCAATCATAAACGGCCACGTCATTATCTATTTTATTTAAGGATTAATTATATATTAACCCTAAATTAAAATTAAAGATAATTTGACAATTAAAATATGTAATTGGGTCATATGGGTATTGGGCTTGGAATCGATTTGGTTCACAATCTTGGCCCAAAACCCAATTTACCATGAAATAAAGTGGATTAATATTTAAATTTAAATAAATCCATTTAAAAGAATTGGGCTTGGCCCAAAATTACCCAAGCCCGATGGCCCACCAAAGCCTATGGAAACCTCTATAAATAGAGAAGACCTCATTCATTTTGGGGTTCAGAATTTCAGAATTGAGAGAATTCACACCAAATTGAAGACTCTCCAACTTGAAGACTTTGAACACTTGAAGACTTGAAAACTTTCGAAGAACATATAACTTCGATCTAAATTCAAGGACAAACATCTCAATCTTCACATCAAGTTCAAGAGAAAGAATCAGAGGATAAAGATTAGAGATTGAATCCACTATACAACACATACTACAAATATAAAAGTTCAACTCCACGAAATATAATTTCTCCGGAAATTTCGTGTGAACATATAGCTTTTAGAATTTTGGGATAAGGTTAAATTTAACACTTGGGATAAAATATAATTGTAAATTCATTCTTTCACTTTTAGATAGACTTAAATATTATTTTGGTCAACGTAATTTTAACTTTTATTTATTTTGGCTCTTGTATTTTTAATTTTTGTTCATTTTAATAAATTTAGTTTTAAAACGTCAGTTTTGGTCTCATAATTATTAAAAGTGACCAATCTTACCATACATTTTATACCCGATAAAAAATATTTAATACAAATTAATGGCTATATTTCAATCAATTTAGTAATTTGATATATCATACTAAAATAAATGAGATGAAAGTAACAATTAATTGACCAAAATGGTCCAGACCTAAAATGAATGTTTCGAAAATTATATGGAGTAAAATTAATAAAAATTGAAAATATAGATATCAAAATAAACTTTTTGAAATTATAGGGACCAAATGAACCAAATTAGAAATATAAGACCAAACTAGTTTCTTTTTTTTTTTAAATTCATTCTTCGCAATCAATTAATCGAGGATAAATACTTTAACCGTTAAGTTAAATTTAGATGGATGATCAAACTAGTATTTAAACCTCACAGCTAATAACTTATGTTGCTGTGGTTTTATTACTTGTAAAGCACACTCGTTCGTCTATATTTTTTTAACTCAACTATTTAAGATATTTATCTCCGATTAAAATATCATGAGTTCGAATCGTATAATATTTACTATTTGATTAAAATTGATCATATATCACTGTTTCTAGTAAGGGCACAACAAAAATATTCCAACCGTATATAAAAGTTACTTTTTATTATATTTATTAGTTTAGAAGCTTAGCTCAATTAGTTAATATATCTATGCCCAATTAAAAGGTTGTAAGTTCGAATTATGGGTAAAATTTTATTTTTTTATCTTTAGTACAACATTTGAAAGTGGGAATTGAGGACTCACGATCTTTTTGATCGAAAATATATGTCTTAATCAGTTGAGTTATGTTCAAGTTGATAATTGGATAAACTTTAATTGAGAAATGAAAATAATAACATAAAATAAATAAAAGTAAAAACATAAAATTGAAATCCAAGTTTTTTATCATGTTGGGATCGAATTTGGTTGGATATATATATATATATCAATTACTACTAAACTATACCCGCTTCGATTGGATTCGCTTTCCCAGCAACACTACAAAATGAATAACCAGCCGATAATAGCCGGCGGGTGATTATTATTATTTTGAGTATATTATTATTATTTAAATAAATAAATAAATAAAGTTCATCCCTCACCATCTATGCCACCGAAAATTTGTAGTTTTGTGTGAAGCCATTTTTAAGTTCATAGTATAAAAGCATTAGGAGACAATATGAAAACTATAGTAAAGATGTATGAATCAGTTTGGAAATAATAATTAATTATTACTAAATGACAAAGGGTTTTATGGAACTCGTAATAAAAAATTGTGTGCTCTTTTTATAAATAAAAATTAATATTTTGACTCCAACAAGGTTTGGTATCAAATTTTCTAAAAACGTAACATAGAACCAAAAACGCAATAAAAAAACAATATCTTGCCATTTTTGTTGTAATTTTTCTAGTTTACAAACATGTAATATTTAAGAATTTACTTACTTAAATAATTTTGCCAAAAAAACAACCATCAAAATATATTTTCGAATAGTTTTAAATGTTCAAAACTAATATATATATTAAATGTTCATTTAATGTATTAAAAATTTTGATTATGAATGCAAATTTTAAAAAAATACATGTTAATATATATATCAACAATTGCATAGTATAGTTAGAGTAGAGCGTAACATATGTTTTGCACATCTAACACATTTAAGAGGATCATATATAATTTTAAAGAAAAAAAAAAGAGAAAAGGGTAATATATATTTTATCCATTTAATTAACTATTTTTTAATCGACAACAAATTATTTGTATTGCAATATATTTGACAAATCTGACTAATATAATTGTCTGCATACCATAAATATCAATAAACTCTGAAATATTAAATAAATTATACCTGAGTTTTAAATACTAAACCCTAGAGATAAATAATAAAATAACTTTCGAGACTGGACCACTGTACCTGAACACTGTGACAAATAGCATAATTTGATACTACAAGTAGTTATTTTAATATTTGTGCGAAGGACAATGATTATATATCATTATCCAATAAATAATGAGATAATATTGCAATAATGATTGAATCTTAGCCGAAAACTTTGAATTACAACACTAATATGTGTCATACTTGGTTAATCAAATATAAAAATTACTATATAAATAAATACCCTGAGAGTTATTTCAAATTTATTGTTTAGGTGTGATTAATTTTTCTACGCGTATTATTAATAATATAGCTACAATTAGAAATAATTATATTTAGTGGGATTTAATAACTAGTTGAAAAACTTTTTATTTTATTTTTAATTATAGAATATCAAATCACAAATTGACACGTAGAAAGTGGTATGCGAATTTTCTTTTATTGAGGGCTAGACCCAAGGTTATATTATAAAGAGAGTAGGATGGTTAACTTAAAAAATTATAAAAAGGGAAAAAAATTGAAAAACTTATAATTGTGTTAAATTAAATAGAGTAGATCATTACGACTATTTATTTGATTCATTTGCGGCATATCTCAATCACTAATTATAAAATAGATTAAAATGTCATTTTCACATACTTTTAAGTATGTAAAGTTATCCTCATACATCTAATAAAACTTAAAATTGGTTGGTGTCTCCGATTTAAAGCTAATTTTATTAAAGAAAATATACTATGTGAATAAGTTTTCAAAATTCTTAGAATAAAGACTAATAATAGGGATTAGATTTTCTTAAAAGAATTTAACACAAATTAAGGGTGAGGACTACTAATTTGACCTTTTTTTTTTTTACTTTATACTAACTCAATTAGTTAAGACATTTATTTCCAACGAAAAGCTCTGATCTCTTGTTAAAATTTAAAAAAGTTTGTTAAAACTTTGTCCATTAATTGCAAAGCCCAACAAACTAGTTTACAGGCCAGACTTCGCGTAGTTAAATGGGGCCCAAATTAGTTTCCAAGCAGAAGCCCAAAAACAGAGGTTACTATAAAGTAATGCTGTGATTTTCGAACCAATTTACAAAATTAATCATTTTAAAGTCTTAAGCCCTCCAATGGCGAGTTGTGTTCATAATAATCTCGTGCTATTTTGTTTTTTATTTTTATTCTAATTTTTCTAATATAACAAATATGGAGTGAAGATTTGAACATTCGTCCTCAAGATCGAAGAATAAAATATTTTAATAGTTGAACTATGTTGGTATTGATCATTTATAAACATGAGATAAAACTGTTACGTTTGATTAAGTTATATCACAAACAATAATTAATTCATCAAAAATTTGGAAGTTTTTCTACCTGAATTAACCATTTGTATTTAATAAAACTTAATTACTAAACACTAACAGCCCAGTAAACCACTATAGTGGAAATTTTTTAACTTGATAATAAAACTATTCAAAATAACATTAAAAAACGGTTCTTTTTATGAGATTTGTTAAAATCGAAACCACTTTCACTTTTTCATAATCATAATAAAAGAAAGTAATTCATATTTGGACATCAAATATTGTAGAGTCAGTCAGTTGCCGTGTGAGATTAGTCGAGGTACACGCAAGCTGAATCGACACTCATAGATATTAGAAAGAAAAATATAATGAAATAAAGCCAACCCATTAATACAATTAAAGTCAATCTGCTACCTCTTTAATCGATCGTTGCATACTTACTCATTATTTGAAATGGCTACCACAAGTTGAAAAGGTTCAGGCACATAGAGGACGACTTTTTTAGGGACAAACTAGAGATCAAGACAGGTAGATTATTATTGAGCATAAAACGACACATTCTACCGTATCTACGACATATTTTCGAACTAGAGATTTGTTAACCAGCGCCTTGCTCTTGTTTTGACCCAATATTATTCATTGATCACAATCAAGAATACCCCATTAAACGTATTTTTGTTAGATTTCCATGAGGATTGACCAATCAAAATATCCAAAAAAAAAAAAAAAATTGATGTTGGGAATTATATGATATATATGGAGTGAGATATCACATTCACATGTTCTTGGGCAGACGGCACAACCAAGTGAGGCTTATCCAGAATAGGAGACTAGGGTTTTGGCCAGGGATCAAACAATAAAAAAATCTCTCAGCCTTCAGTTTTCAGTTTTTGTTCATAATAAAAAAGACTAACAACTCCATCATTTTCTCACATACAATAAAAACTGCACTTTCTTCCAGGTGTTCTTGTCTTATTCATACCCACAAATATTTATTTTCTTTAAAGTTTAAGTATACTTTTGGTTAAATCCCAAGAATATTATTGAAATTTTGTGTTTACTTTTATATATGTAATTAAATTTTAAATATTTTAAAAATATCTTAAAAGATATATTAGACACAAAATCTAAAGTTTGGAAATTTGTTGGAAGCTAATTTAGGGACTCGATAAACACAACATTGAAAGTTTAGAGATCAATTATACAATTTTATAATGTTTTGAAGGTTTACATTGAGGACTAATTAGACATTTTTTAAAGTTAAGAAATTTATCACACACCATCGTAAAAATTCAAAGAATCAAACTTGTAATTTAACTTTTATTCATGCCGAATAAAATTATGTTACAAGTAATTTTTTTAGTACATATTATTTGGCATAAATCAAATGGTTGGTATCAATACTTTTTTCTATGGGCCATAGGTTCAAATTATTCTCTTCCACCCTTACAATTTTATATCTATTAAAAAAAAGTGGGGGAAGAAAGACATGCCTCAATTAATATGATTCTTTTCTCGTAGGTTAAAATAAAATAATCTAAATCTTAGGTTTAAAATGAAGATACGATTAAACTTGGCTAATCGAAGTACAAATTCAATATATATTTAAAAAAAACTATTAAATGTGGCTAATAGAATATTTAGAACTTTTAAGTACATAGTACAAATTCAAAATATCTTATGTTTGCGTTTTAATTTTATTTGTAGAATCTTATTTTGATAAATTTGAAAATTCATGTTTTATTTAAAAATATATATATATTTACTTTAGAATATTTAGGTGGAGCCATGAGCGCGACTTCCGTTTGACGTGGCCACCAAACATTTGTGCTATTATACAATAAACCTAAGCTAAGCTAAATAATGTTAATAATTTAATGAGGTCACGTTTACACGTACGAGTTGACACACACGTGTCGCATTGAGAAAAACTAGGCATATTTGAAAAATGATCAAACAGTAGTTTAAAGTTTTCAATCACAACCGAATCTGGGACCTGTCTAATCACTGATTGTTGACAAATATTCGTCCGACTTTAATTGGATGGTTTTTCAACGGCTGAGTTCCATTCTACTTTTTCTTTCAAACAAATAAAGTAGTTTTTTTTTCCCTAGAAAGTCTGAACCCTGCTGAAGCCTGACGTAATATTTTTAAGTAATGAGTTAGTGCTTTTATTTATTTATTACGACCGAATAAAAAATAGAGAAAACAGATTATAAAATTTCAAGTGAGTAAATAGTTTCTTGTTTTTTTTTTTTGACAATATGAGTAAATAGTTTAGAAAACGGTTATTAAAGTTTTAACAAAACTAACTAGAAAGTTTTAGATTTAGAACATACAAAATTGAGATTCAAATCTAAATATTGAGGATTAAGTTAATAATTTAATAAACAAAATAAAAAAGGTCTAGGTAGAAAGAAGTGGACCATTCACTTATGTGGTTTGTTATGAAATGCTCCGTGTAAAAAAGAAAAATAATGGGAAAAATGTTTAAATACTATTATGTTTTGTTTGTATAGTTTATTTTGTTTGTGTACTTTTAGTTTTTAAAAATTACGTACCAAAAATCTTTTATGTATTTCAAAATATGTCACATATTTTTTAAATTTTTAAATTCATAAAAACTAAAATAACATTTGCAAATATGACAAAAAAAAATTAATAAAATTAGTAAAATAGTAACCACATTTAATTTTTTAAAAAATAACGGTTTAAAAGAAAAAAACAAAGGCCCAATATTAAAATGACAACTTTATCTAAATGATATACATCTGTAATATAAGTGTAATATATTTGATTACTATATATGTATGTGATATACATCTGATATACTACTGATACGGGTGTTGGTGCTGCAATATGTATGTAATATACATCTAATATACTACTGACATAAGCATATGATATACTACTAATATGAGTATCTGATATACTAATGATATAATTGAAAATCAATTTAATTTCAAAACATCTATTTTAATCCATGTACTTTAAAAAGGTGATTGTTTTGGTCACTGTATTTTTTTTTCATTTTTTCAATCATAATTTTGATACGACACTCCATTTAATAATTTCTCAACAAGTAGCAATAACATTGTATTAAATAGTTTTTATTGTATCAAAAATTTGTGTCAAAATTTTGTAAATAATAACTTAAATAATCACTTTTTAGAATTACAAAGATGAAATTAAATATTAAAATTACATGCCATGTTCGAAAGCCTGAGACCTCTTTAAGCTTTTTATCCTTTTTTCCCCTTTTACTTATCAATTTCATTCCTATGCGTTTAGATTTAAACCTCAATTTTGTAGACTTTTAAAATTTACATATGTTTGTATATTAAAATTTTATTAATCTGTTTACAAATTTTAGATTAAAAAATTAACATTTGAAAAAAGTCAGAATATAAATTATTATTATTTTCTCTAAATGATGATGCCCAAACTGCCCCCAACAAAATAGAAATTAGAAGATGTGCCAGCACAATTTCATTACCGACCTTTCTAGAAAGAGCTTAATTGCCTTTCTTTTTTGCAAGAGGGGTTATTGCCTTTCTTTGTGTGTATGATCTCTTGCATGATTGGAGCATACACTTCCTATTTTGATGTTCCAAAACTTATATGGAAATGCATTTTCTCTATTTGTTTAACAAATCAAGAATCAAGTGTCAATTGAAAAGCAATTTCAAGGTGGACTTATAGTCTGCGAAAAAAGAAAATAAGTTCGGATGCTCAATTCAGTATTATCTGAAATGTTCTCAAGACAAGCTATATCAATCATGTACATCATTGGATAATATAAAGTCGATTTTGTGGGGTCCACTTAAAAGTTATCATTAGTACGACAATTTTAGCGTATTTTCTATCATTGTAGTAGAATGAATAGTTGACAAAGGTTATTATCCATTCAATTATGACACCTCGGCCGTTTTTGAGGTTATGTTGAGGTCCAAAATCTCTTGCATCGTTCTACTTCCACGTGGAGGATCGTATTTTTCCCGTCCTAATAACAATTAACTCCGATTGAAACCATCATCTAACAATAACTCTGAAAGAATTTACTATACCATGTATAGGTTAACTTTTTGAAAGGAAAAAAAAATCAACCCAAACCAATTTGAACTCCTATCACTCCTAATTAGAATCAATTTCCAAAAGGCAAGAAGTTCCAAACTAACATTCAAGAACGAAATTTTCAGAGTATATTTATTTATTTATTTATTTATCACCAAAGGAAAAAAAGTATTTAAAATATTTATTATATTTGGCGTGGAGTAAATTGAAATTGGGAAGGTGGGGCCCGGGTGGTCCGATCTGTCAACTCATGAGTGACAGATTTGGTAAAAAAGAATAATTACAGAATGATTCCCGAATAATTCCGGGGGAGTATCCCACAAAACCATCAAACCCAAAGAAAGAAAAGCGTGAGTTGCCAAAACACACGTCCCAAGACAACTAAGAGTGGCAACTTATTCATAAATATTGCCCACTCCTCTTTTTTTCCGTTGTTAGATTAGATTCATGGAATTTCCTTCGGTCACATGAGCTCATATAGTATATGATACATCATCAATTTTAATTTCACATTTATAGTTTTAGAAGTTCGATTTAGTCCGATATGATTTGGATTTAGTTTCTATGTTTTGAAAATTTATTATGATTGAGTTAAACCTCACAAATTGTTTGAATCTTCATTGATATTTGACACTTTTTTTACGTGATAATGAACTAATATTTTATATTTGGTTGAGTATTTTAGGATTTAAGGTGGAGTAAAAAGGAAAATGGTGTGTAGTTTTTTTTAGTGGATGCGCAAGATAATCTAAGGATGACAGGTGAAGTTTAAATTTAACCCAACTATAAGAATTAATTCTGTTGAGATGACACGACTAATTCGAGGTGGATGTCTAGTTAACTAGAGTGATAACCTAAAAGTAAAACCTTGCACCGATATGGTGTTCGACCACGTACACTCTAAAACTTAAGTTAGTAATTAGTTTGAGATTATATCGAGTTTAACTTAGTAAAGGTGCGTAGAGTTACCTATCTTCGCCAGTAATAGGTCCTACTTTTTATAGGGAACATTGGAAAGTGTTGTCCTGCCGTTTCCGATGCTTTTTACCTGTCAGCATATTTTACACTGGTGGCACACGTGCATCCAGGTCAGTGCCAAACTGGACTTTCACCGGTCCCATAGCCTTCCTCTGCCTTGACTTGTCTGGACTGAGGCTTGGACACATGTTTACTAGCAGAGAAACTACTTAACTCTCTTAACATACCAAAATTTATAATTTAACAAAAATTCTATCTTTTATGTTTTTTAATCCATTTTTGTCATATAATTTAACAAGTGTACCTAACTAACTATCTCAATTAAATTGGTACAATCTTAGTAAATCGTCTACTTCATCTCAAAATATTATTACATGTGACACATTTGCATAATAAGATCAAAGAAAGATAGAGTTATATACCTTGAAAACACCTTTACAATCGAATCGAATATGAAATATGAATCTATTATCTGCTTGAAGGGAAGTTATGAAGGTCACTTCCTTATCAACATGAATGGGAAAGAACAAACTTATACATCAATTAAACCATTGGTCATACTTCAAAATTTGAAAAAGAATAAAACAAAGTTAACGGACCAAACAATTGGTTTGGCATCAAATTTGGATTGATCCATCCTTTCAGAACTGGAGGGGCAATTTAGGTAGGTTTTTAGATATATTTGGCTCCTTCCTTACATGCTATTTCATATTTAAAATAATTGTTTAGGTAAGTTGGCTTTATAACATCGGTTTGGATCAATCTAAACCACACTACGCATCTACATTTTTGGTCGACTTTTTTCGTAAATTTGAGAATTATTAAGGATCTTACATTGAAAAAGTGATTTGACAATAATATATAAAATATACATGTGTTGCCTCTATTATTGTCAATTTGTTTTGAGATGAAATTTTATGAATATATATAATATTAGAGTTCAACGAGCTCAAACGTTGTGTTCAAAAAAACCACTATTTTGAGGAACAGTTTATAAAATATAATATTAATAAACTATAAAGTCTGTGCCAATTCAGTTATATATTTAATGCAAACTTAAAAGTGAGTAAGTTGTTATTTACATTCATTTATTTTTGTTTTGTCTATCGAAGTCATATGTTTAATCGATAGATTTATGACCCTGCTAAGTATTCTGGATCTTTCAAACACTTCTATACCTTACGTGTCTTTCGATTAACTAACTTTTAAAGTATTAGCCAAATTTAAAGTCTAATTTAAAAGTTACACACTTTATCACAAATATTCACTAAAATTAATTATTTATTTGGACTCGAACATATATAAATTGATTAAGACATTATAAATAAAAACTTTATTTGATGATAAAGAATCCTATGTCGCCGTGGTCCGTGCATAAATTTGCCCGCGATGCAAATTTACTTTTATCTTTTGACATCATCCTTTAATTTAATTATTTTAGTAATTTCAACCAACTCTAAGGTGAAGGTCTTGGAGATAAAATTTCTCCTATATACTAGTCTCATTTATTATCAATTATTTTAAGTGCAAAAATATGAGAGGCTGAATATATAAGTTGGACTATGTTCAGATTATTTTTTATTTTTTAACATAATATTTTTACTTATCATATAAATCTTGAGCTTTAATGATTTCAATTTAAATATTAATTTGAAGAAGTCTATATGTTGTCTACTCACCCCCATTTATCATTTACTATTTTTTAAAAATTATTTTATATTTGGAGACTTTATCATAAAAAATTTTCTGAAGAGTCAAAAGTAAAAAGCGGCTTATAGTCAATTATTTAACGCCACGCATATGAAAGTTGAGATACAATACCAAAATTGGCCTTTTTGTGGCTCTCTTTCGACTCCGTTTTCTTTAAGCATCGCCAAATTTCTTGCATTATAGAGCCATCTATAGTCGGCACTTTTGTACTTTTTACTCGCAAAAAAAAAAAAATAATAATAAATAATTGTACTTTACAAGCAAAGAAACCCAAGGTCTGAAAAAGTAGTGGTTTTTCTTGAGTTCATTTAAAATTTGACATCAGTGAACAAAATTCATCTTATATTAAATTAATGTACTTTGCAATTTTTAATATTTTCCGTAACGTACTGCAGTTTCATTTTAGTCAATATAAAATTTATGTTTAGTATTAATTATATACGGTTGGTTAGAGACAACCGATCATCTACATTTCTACAATGATATGATATTGTTTGCTTTGTTTTTTATTTTACACGTCCTTCACCCATATATTAATGATCATCTTCTCATTCTCCTATTCAACAAAGTATCATCGACCTTGTCTAAAATAGTGATCGTCTAATCGTCCAACTCGTCTTCTTCGGAGCATACCGTCTGTCTAATAGAGCTCAACCACGAATCACACTATAATTTTACCTCTATAGCTAAGTCAAGAGCATGAATTTTGATACAACTTGTTAGGAATAACAGATCCTCCATATTTTCATAATTATATGATATTGTCTATTTTAAGAATTTCATTTTAAGTTTTACTCGAATACCTCATATTGAAACTATCTCTCACATATAGATTTTTTATTATTCTAATCCAAGTATAACTTTCGTACTTTCAACGTATACTCAACCGGTGAAAAAAAATGAAAGAAAGAAAGTCATATTGTGTGAAAAGTTCTTTTTTTTTCGGAAGGCATATTGTATGAAAAGTTAGTATTACATGATTACACATATATAGAAATTTGAAATGACGATACTATATCCCCATCAAATCACATCAATTTTGTATCGCAAATTAACCAAACAATTAAGTATTTAATATTTAACGACGAGTTGATATGTTTACAAAAATATTAAAAAAAAAGTAAAATGAAATACTAAAGTAATAGATTTGTAACGAATTTTTATTTTATTCGACCTTTTGAAATCCTTCGGCCATCTGTATAGAGAGTGAGAATAGAATAAAGAGAGAGAGAGAGATCCTTTTAAAGTATTTCATATTTTATATTATTCCCATCACGGGAGGAACGAGATCCCATTCACAAGACTCCTCACCAGCACCACTTCCCAAACATTAGATTATTTAATTGGCTCATGAATATTATTCATTTAATTGGGGTAGTTATCCCTAATTAAAATGTCGAGGGTTCGAATTTGTACAAAAGGAAAAAGAAAAAAGAAAAATTCGAATAATATGATTGATAATTTTATATCATTAGAAAAATTTTAGAAGAATGTATTTTAACCATACATCCAATAATTATAAGAGTAATAATCCGATCATAATGATTATACTGAATAAATTTAAAAACATATATATTTTATAAAGATTTATACATGGTCAATATATTTGCTATTATTGCCAATCTAACTAGTCAGAGTATAACTGATAAATATCTATCAAAATGTATTTGTTATTTTTCTTGTTGATTAATTTTAATTTTATTTTTTAATCAATATAATATAATATGTCGGAAGTAAGAAATTGAACTCACATATCAGGTGCTTTAATTAGTTGAGCTGTGGTTAGATTGGTTTGATTAGTTTTAATCTAAAAATTTAGAAATTTGAGAGTAAAGATAAATAAGTGTGAAAGTGGTTAAAATATGATTTAAATTAAAAATTATTACAAAATACAATGGTAAGTAAGAGGAGGGTAGAAAGAGTATTAATTATTAAAAAAGAAAAGGAAAAAAATCTATGACATGCACCCACGACATTATTTTAGTAATATTTTACATTCATACTGATGAGAAGGATATTTTTTAAAATTTCATATTTGAGAAATGCACTATTAAAAATTATATTTGGGAAAGCAGCAATAGAAATAGAATTAAAGGAATAAATATAGCGACATGTAATGTAACTATGTAAGATCTCTTAAAATTGATTTATTTGAAATTCTTGTGAATTTACATATTTTGCTTATATTTTCGTGGCCGTTGGATGAATGTTGATAATTCTAGATCAGGCTTTTGATGTGCAGTTACCGAAATTTCTCGTAATGAATTCTTGAGATTCATGTAGACTTTCACGGGAAAGGGGAGTATTAATGGTGAAATGCAGAGCGATTACAGGGGTCTGAGCTTTTAGCGCGCTCCCTGTGGAAGAAAACGACAGCCAGTTCCGAATCTCATCATCTTTTTTAGTCTCGATTGACAAGATTTACCAATTTTGAACTTCTGAGGCACAGATTTTACACAGTTCCGCGCATATAATCGCCTTCATCTTCCTGCCTTCTCGCATTTTTCTGAGAGTGAAACTCTCTCTGAGGGAGGAGGGAGAGAGACAAGAACCGAGGTTTCAAGCACAATGGCTGGGAATGATTGGATTAATAGCTATTTGGAAGCAATTCTGGACGTTGGGCCTGGTATTGATGAAGCTAAGTCTCGAAAGGAATCGTCGTCGTTGCTTCTCCGAGAGAGAGGACACTTCAGTCCCACTCGGTATTTCGTTGAGGAGGTCATCACTGGCTTCGATGAGAGCGATCTATACCGCTCATGGGTTAAGGTAATCATTTACTCATTTCCATGCCTGATTTATCAAACTATGGTGTTACTTTCCATGATCTTGAATTTGTTGTTATGGTTGTTGTTGTTGTCATGTTTGCGCGTTCAAGGCTGCAGCCACCCGAAGTCCCCAGGAGAGGAACACTAGATTGGAGAATATGTGCTGGAGGATTTGGAATTTAGCTCGTCAGAAGAAGCAGGTTCATATTTTGTACTTAACTAATCGCAGATTTAAGTGGATAGTTCGCATGCGACATAGCTTACCTGTGGAATTACTGGATTGTTTAGTAGAAAAGATTATGTATAAATCTCGCCCTCTCTTCAGTCTCCCTCTATGATTTGTTGCCTACTTTTTGGTAGCATTCTCTAGTTCATTCGTTGTTTCCTGTGTGAAGATGGGATTATGTCCTGTCCACCATTATCCTAGTGTTTTAAGATAATATTTGGCGAAAGCTGGCTGGCTACAATAAAATCGATAAAACTTGCTGTTTTTTACACATTAACAATTAACTATTAGAAGGATCATCACGAATGCATATTTGTAATTTTTTGAATTTGAATTATATCAATGCGAACTTTTCTGTTATGGTGATGGTTAAATTGGAAAACATAATATGCACAAAACTTGTAGTTATGGAATCTCTGTTTATAGCTTGAAGGAGAGGAAGCCCAGAGGATGGCTAAACGTCGTCTTGAACGGGAGAAAGGGCGAAGAGAAGCAACAGCTGATATGTCTGAAGATTTATCAGAGGGAGAGAAGGGAGATATAGTCGGTGATATGTCGGTTCATGGAGATAACATCAAAACACGTTTGCCGAGAATCAGTTCTGTTGATCAAATGGAGGTGTGGGCTAGTCAACAAAAGGGGAAAAAACTATATATTGTACTAATAAGGCAAGAACAAAACTGTACTTTTATTTCTTCTAAATACAATTTGTTTTCGAAACAATTATTTGTCAATGCAAACATTCAATGTCGTGTATATTCACTTTTTTATGAAATGTACTGTTAGTGAAGCAAAGGTG